AAGCACCCCCCTCTCTTTCTCAGTTGCCCCCACAGCAACGGTCCCGCCTCGTCTGGCGCGGGACGGTCTTTCTGCAGGTCTAGTCAGTTCGGTCACACCAAGAGCGGTGACGATAGTCTACTTCACCTTACGAAGGACCTCAACAGACAGCACGAGAGCCATCGAAACCAATCCAGTGCCTTCTGAGTGTCACGTGACCCTGCAGTCCCGCTCACGGTGCTGGATTGCCTAGGGTGACTCGTAGGGTCCGTAGCGGTCCATCGCAAGGTGAAACGAAGTATGCAGAGACTAAAGTCGAAGGAAATAAGCGGGATACCGTGTAACCCCAACACACTAAAACACATAACACAGAAAACAAGCATCGGAACCAAGAGCAAGTAAAAGGCGGACTCGCACTACAAATGCGATATATAAAAAAAAAAAAAAAAAAAAAAAAAAAAAGCTTTGGAGCAAAGCGCAAAAGGAGAAGAGGAAGTGAATCTCGCTTTGTTTTAATGCTGAAGCAAACCCCCATTTCGCGCTTCAAAGGAGTGCGCACGAATGAACGTGGAAGGCAGCAAGGTTGGCTGCCTGCTAAACAATTAACGCTCTTTGAACTATAAGAAAACAATACCCGATCATCTTTCGGCGCGCCCGAGTCAACGAGTTGCCAGAGCTCTGCGAGTTAGGAGTCGCTTCCGCTTACAGATCTCAGTCTGTGCGCGCGCGTGCATTCTACAAACCGTCGTAACAACAACAACAACAAAAAAGCATGACAAGAAGGACGATGAGCAGCTGTGCATGCCGGTTTCTTTGTTTGCCGCTCCCTTTTCTTTTGCTTGGTGCTTGGTTTCTTGTTTCGCTCTCGTGTAACGCCATCGAAGTCCGACGCCTGCGCGTCCGTAAAAGGCGCCACTGTTACCCTCCTTTCCCCCTTTGCCCTTTGCTTTGACGCTTGTTTTTTTGTATTGCTTTTTTTTTTTTTTTTGCGTATAAGTTTGTTATGGCTTTACACGGGCTAGCAGTTTCCCTCTCATTTTATTTCTGAGCAACTGACTCGCTGACTGGCTCAATTTAGCTGACCGTAAACCCTAAAAAGAAAAAAAAAAAGAAAAAGAATAACCGTGCCTATTCCATTCCCATTTCATTCCGGGCAAAAGGCACCTAATTCCATTCCCATTCCATTCTCAATGTTGCCGCCATTCCATTCCGGGGTCGTGAAAATGCGGAATGATTCCGGAATCATTCCAGCTCCGGTGCCAACTCCGCAAAACTGGTGCCGAGAGGATTCTCAGGGGGATTCGGCTCTTGAAACTGGGGGACTAAAGCATGGGTTTTAATTTTGGGAGTTTTGTCTTGTAGATTGCTGTTGACTTGTTATCGTCTTGTTTTGAAATAAACGTGGCCACAGTGGCCATCGTAAACCAACCAACGTCGTAATGTGTCCAGCGGGATCGAATAACTTCTTTTTTTTTTCTTCTTATTCGACTTCCCGGGGACTTGCATTGGGCGAACATCAACATCGGTCGTCACCACCCTGACCGGCCCCCTCTTCCTCGGAAAGCTGACTGCCTCTTTCTCTGAAAAAAGAAGAGAGCATCGCCCAAGGCCTGGCTTCTTGTCTTCCTCTCGGACAATATGGACAAACTTCTTTGTTTTCGGGGCTGGAGCAAAAATATGTCTTTGAATCGTTGAACTATATGTATCCTCAATTCTAAATGTCCTTCGCGCCGTGTACCAGAGAGTAAAATAAGTCTTTAGAGGCAAGACGAGTTGTTGCCCATTCTTTTGAATATATTATTTATAAAAATCAACGCAACCGATTAATCGATTAGTTAATCGATTAAAGGGTGGCGATTAATCGGGTTAAAATTCTTAATTGACTCCCAGCCCTAGCACTTTACCCACAACAGATCTTCCACCAAGGCATTATATCACTTAACTCAATACCTTGATAAACTTAAAATCCATCACAATATTTTTACAATAATTTTATAGAATTTTCAAGGATCGTTTGACTGTATGCTAGCCATTATTCTAGAATTTTTAAAGAAACATAACTGTCCACGTAATTTATACTCCCTACTTCATTCATTTCTTAAAGACAAAACTATTTATTATAAGTTAGAACACAATCCAATAACAAAAAAGTAACTTTAGGATGTCAACAAGGTTCTCCCCTAGGTCCATTGTCATGGAATATCATAACACATGATTTATTAAATACCACCATTCCTATCTATAATTATATCCGGGCATTTAAAGACGATATGGTGCTGGTTGTAGAGGGATTTTCGCGCCGGGAATTTGAAACGCGCTCAGAGAATATTGTATATCATATCACACAATGGGCTACAGAGAGAAAATTAACCTTTAACTCCGAAAATTATTGCTGTTTATTAATTGATCGAGGAAGTATCAAACGCACCTTCCCCAAATTAAACTTATCCACCCCAAATTAAAATTCAAGGAGGAATTAAAAATATTAGGCACCATTTTTGATACTCATTTACCTTTTATTCCGCATGCAAATTATATATGTAATAAAGTACTTAAACACAGATTTAATTTAGCTCGATTCTCCTCTGTGCAATAATGACTGAGTTTTTGACAACTGAGGACAATTTACCTATAATACATTGAACGTTACATAATATACGGGGTACGTGTATAGTGGAAAAAAGAATACAATAGTTATTTCAAAAGTAAAATAATCTATGTTCAAAGAATTCCATTATTCAAAATCTGGCAAGCATATTGAACTACTTCAACTATTATTTTACCTGTTTTATGTAATATTCGCCCAATAACGTAAACTTTGGATTTAGATATTTTTATGTTTAACATATTTCAAGAGAGGAAAGCCAGTGAATTTAAAGTCTAGTTCTTGCAACCACAAAATACTCAATATCCCATTAATTTATGGGCCGTGCACCCTAGCAGTAGATTCTCTATAGATTATAGAATACACAATCTTACCGCCTTCCAAAGCAATATAAATACATTCAACATTTACACAGATGTTTCAATTTGTTTAAATACAGTCGGTGCAGCTTTTGCCATAACAAAATTTAATGGAGGGATTTTAAAAATAGGAAAATATACCCTAAATAACCATAACACCATTTTTGAAGCAGAAGCAGTAGCTATTCTGAAATCAATCGAATACTTAATAATTATACAAACAACCCGAGGCTGTAATATTTTCACAGATAGTTTATCAGTCCTACAAGCAATGAATACCCTGTTAATCCAAATGAAATAATCAATACAATAAAAAAATTGAGAACCTTAAATGCACAGTGCAACCCTAATTTTTTTTTTGTTAAAATTCACCATGGGAATATAGGCAATAATTTAGGTAATCAATATGCATCATTTGCTAGATACCATGGTGTCTACTTACCTTTTAAACTATCAAAACAATACGTCAAAAAACAACTAATTTTAAAAAGTTAATGGTTTATGGAACGCTCAGTGGCAATGGGAGCCAGGGAACAGAAAGTGCACTTATCCAATGGATCCGGTTAACATACAGCATTTCATCATTTTTTCCTTCAACATATTACTTAACTCAATCATTAACAAATCATAGCAGACTTCCATTTTATTTTGTTAGATTTAATATTAAAAATCACAATAGATGTTTTTGTAGCGTGCAATGTAATCATACAAACCATTACTTTTTCACTTTGTCCGACTCTACGAACAAAGGCTAATTTATTAAATATTTGAAATCTAAATACTGCACAAAAACAATAATTACTTCATTCAATCTCTAAGCTGGAAATAATGGTGGACATGATAAAACAATAATTAATAATCTAATATAACTAAATAATTAAGGAAAACCCTCTGAGAGAGCGACTCCAACCCCACACATTTAATAAAACGGGGTAAGTCTATCACAACATAAGCCCATCATTTCGTCACTTAACACACTTTCACAAAAATAATACAGGAAAAAACAAGAATTAAGAAATAACAAAAAAAAAACTTGAAAAAAAAAAGGCAAGATGGGAAACGCAGGAAAAAAACATGTATAATGTGCGTTGGATAAACCCACAGCTATAAAAAGGACATGAAAAGGTGGATAAAACCACAGACACAAAAAAAAAAAAAAAACAGATAGGTGTGACCAACAGCGTGTTGCATGCATAGATGACCTACTTATTCTTAGGTAGGTAGGTGTGGACAAGATTTGTAACCTCTAACTTCCTTTAGCTTTAAAAAAAAATACATCTAATGCTATTGCTTTTGTGAAGAAAGTGAGATCATCTATATGAATTAACTGGTTACTACATGTTGAAATCACTCTTTCCAAGTTAAACAAATATGATAACTATATCGATTTCAAAACATAAAATATCAAGACCATTTTTAAAAGATTCAATGAAATAGTGTTACAAATATCTTAATATGTAAGAGAAAGCATAAATATAAATATCACTCCTGAAAAATTGAACGAATTAATATATCAAATACTTCAAGTTAAATAAGTAAAATGAAAACATAAAATAGGAATACATAAAATAAAATATTGATATTCAAATTGAGCGGTCCAAGCAACCTAACTGCTTCATATTATGTTAAGGAGATAAACTATTTCATTCTGTTCTCCTAAAATTTGAAGTCGGAGTACATTTACAAAGTAAAAGAAAAAATTAAATATAAGAAACAATTTTGAAATATTTATCTTCAAACTTAGATTTCCACGTCGCTTATACCTCTATCTATATATCTATATATCTGAAAGGGGACACTCCGCCCAGCACCATGAAAGGTAAAACAAAAGTTAAAAAAATAATAGAAAAGACAGGATTTTTCAAACACAACCTGAGCTTTCAATCACAACTTCTTTAAATAATGACAAATACTGAACAGGTAATTAAAGTACTTGAGAAATACTTTATCTCCATTAATATTAATATACCACTATTTTATCCTCCGACCCTCCTAAGTATAAAAAAATAAATAAAATTAAAAAAAATAATAGTTATACGAAATATTCTTCTTTTCAGAATAAACATCATGAACACAAGCCTCTGTCGCCGTCGTCCACCAGCTAGGAGACACGAAGCCTCCTTTGCTCTCAAGCCCCCCCAAACCTAGGTATAGATACGTACAAATAATTTTCTTTTTATAAGTAAACGCCCGCACTGACTCTTTTCAGGTCCATTCCAATAACTGTGGCTTCGTAGTATCTCCTGTTTTTCTTTGCGAATTGGCTCTTATATTAAAATTTTCTTTTTGGCATTAGTAGGCCCCATTTATTTATTTTTAATTGGTTTAAACTTGTTATATTGTTCGGTGGTTCAGGTAGAGAGACACATTATATTTTTATTCATTCTAGCTCTCACTCAAAAAAATGTAAAAAAAAAAAAAGGTATATGTAAAATGTTCCACCGAGACCGCCAGCGCCGCTCACCGAAGTACAGGTCGGGCCCAGCGGAATACAGGATCTGGTCGACGTGGACATTGACCTCGACCTGCTGTGGCCTGTAGACCACTGGGCAGGGACGACGACTTCGAGCCCCTTTGGGCTCGGGTAAGCCTACTGTTCCTTTTTTTATTTTTGTATCAAAGCCGTTTTTTTTTTGTTTTTTTTTTTTTATCAAGTAGGTTTATTAAACATTTTCAGGAGGGGGGATGTGGGGACCGTTGGTCGCCCTTCTCCGATGACTGGTATAACGGCCGTGGGGATTCCGGGGTTAAACGATCTCCGTGCAGCATGGCGGACGAGAAAACCCTGACCTCGCGTACTGGCGGGGAGAAGTTTTTTCCGTAACGACGACGATAGCGGACGAAGTAAGAATTTAAAATTGTGTTGCTTGCGTGCTTATGTAGCCTTGATACTAGTACGCCGCAAGGCGTAACTGGTCTGTTCGCTGATGTGCGAAATTTAGCCAGTGCAGTTCAACCGCTAACCCTGGTTTTTTTAACGTGCATCGCGCAGTAGCGATTGCACGAACGCGTGTAGGTACAAAACTCATCCAGATCGGAACGGGTACGAACCCATAAGTTTCTGCAACGCAAGCTTTCTCTCCACGCTGCGGGCTGAGACCCGTTAGACCACAAGGCAACCGACCCCCGCCGAAATCTCAGAAAAGTGTTGCCCGTAAAGCTATATCGCCGTAAAGCAATCGTTGTGGATGGCTCGGGAGTAGAGTGCCTCAATGTTGCTTGCTGGCTTCACCTTGCAAGGGTAGCGACATCCTTTGGGAGGGCAAGTGCCCCCTTTTCCCTACTGCGGCCACCAGTATGCCTCCTCCCTCCTGACGGACGCCGAAAACAAACGCATCCTTGATGTAATTTGTAACGCTGCGTGTTCTCGGGGTTACCCGGTGCCTTTTTGACGAGTGGTAATGTTCAATGACAATAACAGCGTGATGACCTCATAAAAGGTTAAAAACAAGGTGGAGACTCCGTAAGCAGACGGAAGAGTTATCACCCCTCTGTGAGGGACACCCAGCAAAATTCAGGCATTCTACTCTGGAGCCACCGCTGCCTCTTCAGCCTTGTTGTCTTGTTGTTTAAGACTGGAGCCATGAACCGGAAGAAGTAGCCACCCAAGGCTGTTCCTCAGCAAGAAAACACACCAATTTATTCAACTCATACGTGATGTGTCTCTTTAATGGACGGCCAAGGCAGTGCAGAATGACGAAGGAAAGAAGATTCACACTTCAGACATCAAAATCTAAACTACTTCTAAGAAGAAAAAAAACAGCTGGGATGACTGACACCCGAAGACGCAAATGCAGCTATACTCCGTTCACCCTCACTAATCTGAGACGTCACTAGTCTCCGCTTCATACGCCTCAGCCCCTAACCAGGTTTTAATACTAATCGTGTTTTCGGAATACGGCGTGTCAAATTCACGACAACAGGATTTCGATCACAGCATTATATATCAGGGGTTGAAGTGGACGATAAATCTCATGTACCGATTCGGTAGGTTGGCTCTGAATATTACCTGCTTGGGGTGATCAGTGCATAATCATCTTATTCAAATGTAAAGCTTAAATTTAGTCCTTCATGCCTCACTAACATACCTGTTTGTTTTTTTGTTTTTTTAATTTAGTGCCCAGTTTTAGTATTGTTGAACATGCGTAGTGAAAGGTACAAACAAGTATTGTCGCTTTCCGTTTTTTACTGTTCATTAACCGTCGTCTTTCTAAACCTTGCAGAACAAACTAGGCAGGAATTTTGACGCAGATGTGAACGACATTTCGCTCCTTTAGGTGGCCTGTCACCCGCCAAGTCCCCTTTCAGCGGTGCAGGGACTTTGTGCTACATTTTATCTTCACACAAGTGGCACAGAGCCAGATCAAATGAGATAACTACAGTTGAACCTGCTACGCGCGAACTTTTCATTGTCTGCCTTACCTTTGCGACCAATCGCCTCTTCCCCTTCTTTCAAAGGCTATTGGAGGCTTTCGCACATGTATTTATGTAAACTGTATAATCCAACTAAGTATGTCTTAACGCGGACCAATTGAATAGTGTCTCTTACTTTTGCTTTATAATGTAAAAATGTCTGGAGGTGGAGTCTTATTTCTAAAATGGTGAAACATGTGCCATATGTGTGTTTAATTTATTGTTTCCTCAAGTAAAGGCAAGTTTACACATTTCTTCCTGCCATGCTTTTAACCGCAGATGCTGAAAACACTGGCGACTACTTATGACCGGCAGCGCAGCGGCTGGTTCCCTTACAAATATGTTTTTTGACATTTTATTGAAAACGTGTTGACTTCTTGTTGACTCTGATTACTTTCTTTTGACTTTGACTTCATGTTGACATGGTAAACAGATTTTGTTTCATTTTCTGTTGAAACTTTTCTGATGGTTTTCTTTAGCTGAGTCAAACAAAAACCTGTTGACCACCGAATCAACTCTACGTTGATTTTTTTTTTCTGCTGACATCCTGTTGACAGTGCCATCAGGATGACTGCAGTTATGTTTACTTCGTGTTGAAAATGTTCAGTTCACTCCCTGTAGCCAGTGTCATTAGGAAAGCTAGAGACTTTCTGTGGATTTTTTATTTGAACATAGTATATCTTGAGTAGATATGTCAAAAGTTTCTTTCCAAATAGTTTCTGATAAGGAGACAACGGTAGAAAGCAACGTCAGTTGTCCCGCCTCCAGCGCGAGCCTCCTGTATACCCTTGAAAACGCGTCGGCGTTCGTGCACTTTGAGCGCGCGCGTGCAGTGAAAGGGCATGGGGCGCATGCTGGAGGCCAGGCGTTCGAAAGGCATATATATATATATATATATATATATATATAAACGAATATGTGCAGATGAATGAACCATACTTAACCCAATGAATCAAAGAATTGAAGTTTTCAGGAACCCGCCGAAAGCTAAAAAACGGCGGAGCCAGGACTCTGGGCCTCCCAATGTCCGGTCGGGTGTGCTCGTGGTCGTGGGTCAGGGGCCCATTTGGGAAAATTATTAAAGTCAAGGATAATTCAGTTGTTAATTATTTTTGCGTCATTAACTTTTTTAATATTGTGTTTAAGGGCATGGTTTCAATTAGAAAATTGCTCAGCATCATCGAAAAACACTAAATCAACAAATTGCAGAACGATAGAAGGCACGCGAAGCATTTTACGGCTTTCTAAAAAACCGCACACATTCGAAGGGTTTTTAAGTTTCGGTTTGCCATCGGAGCGCATCTCGGCCCCGGCGGCACCGCGCCCCGTGGAGAGATAGTGCAACCAGCCTCTGCTGCTAATGAAGGATTAGAAAAGTGTTCAGCGACGGCGATCTTGAAGATGAGACGTCTTTAAAGTGAAGCTGAAGCGGTTTTATATTTGAGTAAATACACTTAAATCGTCTCAATTTGGCCTCCAGGAAGTCCAGAAAATCATTTTCAAAGTACCGCTGAAGCCCCTCCTTCCCGCAGCGTGCAGTCATGAAAGGAGTTTTCGGAATCGCCACTTTCGAGCATCTCCAGGGCCTATCAAAGATATGCACGCGCACTTTTGTTATTTAAAAAAAAGAAAAGTCAGAAAAAGATGTCACGACTGGTGCCAGTGCAGGGGAGTGGCAAGCTTGCAATTGCTAGAGCTGCCACACGTGCGACGCGAGCTTGTAGGCCGAAAGATCCTCCTATGACGTAACGACTGGTCGGAGGTTTCTCGACTTTCCTCACGTTTACTAAGGTCTTCGGGGAAAACGAACCCAAAATTCAGATTTACGGGATAAAACTACGCTGGAATCAACCTCTATCTCATTTTTGTTTTGGACGATGTGTTTCAGCTTCTTTTTAGTGGGACGATGACAAGGGGAAAGCCACTCTAAGCTTGTCTTGAGTCGGAAGAAATATATAAAAAAAGTTTTGTGTTGCAAAAGGGATTGCATAATTTACGTTGGTGATCAGTGGTGATCAATTTATACTGGTCATCAATTAACTAACTTATAACGTTTTGTAGTCAACTTCGGTATAATCAAAAGGGCTCTTTACCCATGAGGGTCTCAGGGGAACTCGTCAACGTGAACCAAGTATCTTAGCTAAAACCAATTCTTCCTAAGTGAGCCCCGCTTATGATCGTTTTTGGAAAAACGCGAGGATGACTGATTGATCTACACTGCATATCATTTTATAAATGATAGAATTAGACGCGTGGATGCAGCACTGACGGAACCTACAAACATGTTCCTCCTTCCTAGCGGTTTGAAGCTGCATATATAATGAAACATCTCTCGTGGAAATCAAAATGGTCAGTGGTATTTGGCCAAAACATTCACACTTGGAAATGGTATAGTCACATAGGACTTATTTTTTTTCGCGTACTTCAGACTGAAATTTCTCGCAGGTACTCCAAACTTACAAACGTTGGCATTATCTATTCCCTGTTTAATTTCAAAAGTGGCCTTAAGTTCTTTATTTTCTTGAACTGTACTGCAAATGCGCGTTTTCCAGGTTTTTGGATTATTTTTTTCTCGTTTCTGCGTCGTAATTCGTGATCATTTACTGTGCAGTTTACTCAAGTAGTGAATAGCCAACTAGACCAATTTCCAGCACTGGTGCCCTTCAGTTTTAGTTTTGCTCATTGAATGTGATGATATTTTAGCCCAGGTATCATAACTTTGTGTTTGCGACTGTTTATTAATCTTCATTCTTCTGAACCTTGCAGGACGAACTATCCGGAAATCCTCTCGTAACGAAAGACGGCCAGCCAGGTCAACCTATGGCAGTGCCAGACCTTTCGGCTACGCTTTTCCCCAGATGAATGGGACCGACTAGTCGGATCAAATAGGGAATGGCCTCAGCTCAGCAAACTACATGCAACATTTCCATTATCTTCCCTACCTTTGTTCGCCGACACAGCATGCATGTTCGTTTTGTTGACCTGTAATTCTCAGAACCTATAGGGCGGTGATACACCGTACAGTTGTTGCTTTTCTAGCATGCCCGCCTTTTTTCAGCACTACGAAGCAGGAGCGTTGTAACTAAACCACGCTCCTTTATCGTACCCAGTTGTGTCTTCCTCGATTCGTGTGGGTCTATTTGGACGCACTCGCTTACCGCATGTTTAAAGGTGAAGTCAAACCTTTGACTCACGTGCTTAATAGAGAATTATCACTTTTATGTTTGGTTCACGTGCGTTTTTTAGAATCGACTTTTTCAGGATATTCAGTATCCAGTTATCATGCATTCAACCATGGCTAAAAGCGCCAAAAAGAGGTACACAAGATAGAAGACAAACACAAGCGCTTCTTCTATCTTGTGTACGTCTTTTTAGCGCTTTTAACATGCATGGTTCAATACAGTCAACACCAACTATCCCAACAACAAGTTCTTTTACAGTTATCATGTTCGTGTTTTTTCGTGATATCATTATTTTACCTTGGGAATTACACCGCAATGCGAATGTAAACCCCTGAATTTCTCTACTTTATCTCCACGATGTGTCTCTGTTTGCTTGTTCCTTAAATTTGTTCTGGTTGGGCTTCTCTGTTAGTGTAGTATATGTAAAAAGAGCCTGCAACTAACGGAAACTTGACCTTCACGCCTAACAAAAAATGCCCACGCAGCATTCGACTACGAATGGCAGAGAACGGACTGCCAGGACAAGGGAGCGAAGCTCTTATTTCGAGGAGCCGAATTCCATTGGCAACCATGGAAGTCGGACCAGGAGGGGAGGACGGACGGTGGTGCGACTTTTGCCCCCAATCTTATGGTGCTCTCAGAACTAACACCACCAGGTATGAGAAGACGCTCACGGGGCAACACTCATCCAGCTTCGCACCTTCTTAGGACACCCTCAAGGATTCATGAACGGTCCGCACACAGATAGAAAACGTTTTTCTAGGCTAGCGCTTTCCAGAAGGTGGAAAAAGTGATGAGTCTGATGGTGTACACAAAGTTTCCCTCACGTGGACACGTCATTAAGTTTTAATTAGCGGCCTATATCAGACAAAAAATTGTACTACAACAAAATTCAAAGTTGTTTTTATTAAGGAATAAGGAAGGAGGGGGGTTAAAGGTGTTACAGTCCAAAGTCTAAGAACTACAACCCAAGTGAAAGTAAACAAACAAACTGGGCTCTACCGAAGGAACATTCAGTCCGAGCACTCGAAGTTTCAATAGGTACATATTATTTGATATGAGATAAATGTACTGTGCAGACTTGTTTATTTATATCACAAAATTATCTTTTTTCCTTTAGTTGCGGTCGACCCAGTAGCTCTCGCAAATAGTATCAATTCTTTTTGGTGCATGAAATTGCCCAAAAAAGGTTTGGCTGTTCTAAATGATCGAAGCTTTTCTCACAACAATATTTGTGTCGCCGAAGTTTAGCTTTAGACTGGTAAATATCCATATCAATGTCGATTTAAAACATACATTGTTTTTCGCTGTTTCAGATTATTTTACTATCCTTTTGAATGCTATATTGTGTAATCTAATAATATGCACCCTAAAAGAAGCCAGTGTGACAACTTACCTGCACAGCACTCGGAGAGCCAATCACCACAACTTACAGAGGCGACTCGGTGAATGACGATGCCGAAACACATGTTTAGACCAAAAAACGCAGTCAGATTTGTGACATTAAACATTGCAAAACGTCACGCTTGCATTGCTTAATGTCACAACTCATACTGCGTATTTTTGTCTGAACATATGTTTCGGCATCATCATTCGCTGAGCTGCCTCTGTAAATTTCGGTGATTGGCTCCTCGAGGGTTGTGCGTGAAAGTAGACGCACGGGCTTTTCTTAGAGTGTGTGGGAGTGAGGAAGTCTCTTTCAGCCTTACTTAATATACAGTCGCAAATATTAGGAATGTCAACAAGCTATCACCAAGAGCTCCGTGCTGGCAGCGTTATGCAGACGCAGAAGGAAGTTTTAGTAGACGGTTTCCGCAGCACGCTAAGCACCCGTATAGCGTTCCATAATTCGCCACATGACCTTCAACCATGTAGACAACGTTGGTGTCGCGCACGCGCAGCTGCGGCGTTTTCTTAACGGATACCGTAGCGGAGGAGAAAAACGATCTATTACGACTTCCTAGTGTTGTAGGTGTTACCGTAGAAAAGTAATGAAATACGTTACTCGTTACGTGCAAAATAAAAGAACGCGTTATTTTTACCGTTACAGAAAAAAAAGTAATGGACGTTACTTTTCCGTTACTTTTTATTTATAAATAAACAATAACAGTGTTTTCTGCGCTCTTTTTTTTTGCAGCGTTTTCTTTTACATTGAGATAACTGGAGCGGGCGTTGAGGTTTTTTTAAAGTGGAACTTTTTGCTTGCTGAAAGGACAGCAAAATTTTTAAAATATGTGGAATGAGTACAATAATTAATGACTTCGATCATATTCTACGCTCCAGATTAACTCCAGACGCAACCGACGCTACGAGCTAATGGGACCAGTAAAGCAGCGGCAAAATCGCAAGTCACTGTGTTTCTTTTGTAATTATGACTGGGGTTCAGCGATGATAGAACATGTCTAGAGACACGGCGAACACAATGATGGCTCCCTTTTCACTCTTTCTGATTGGTATCATCAGCTTGTAGTGTCAGCTGTGGATGGACTTAAAGGGGCCCTGCAATTCTATTTAAGCCTTTTTTTTTTGCGGTTTTCACGTCTTTTGTTGTTCGGGCAACCCAGCGAGCGCGGAGAGAATAACTAAATATGAGTGCTTCCTATTTTAACCGTACGTCGCACAAGTCTCCTCCACCTACAGCGGCGCCCCGTGGTGCCGAACGCGCGCAACATGTGACGACATCGTGACGTTTCAGGTCCTGGCCGGCTCCTGCCTTACAACTAATGAAAGCCGCGCGGCTTTTAGCTTTTACCGCTAAAAGCTTTTTTTTTTTGTCGAAATACAAAATATAAGTGGCACGAACCGTTTCAATTATTTATCAAAGTAGTTTTTGTTCAGTATTTTAGATCAGAAAAGAAACAAATGCAGTTTAGAAAGTACGGAAACAAGAAATGGATGAATGGATGAATGGATGATTGCGGCTGAGCCCTTTGGATCGGGCGGTAGCTTATTCCACCTAGCCATTTTGTTTTACGATTTAAGCTTAGGATATTTAACTGTGAAATCTATATTCACTCCGCACTGCAAAGAAAGTGGGGCTATAAAACCCCCTTGCCATCAGTTAATAAGAAAATACCTAGTTTTCCCTCGCTTTCTGCCACCATTCAGTTAATCTTTGCTTGGTAATCTCTACAGTCTTGAAATCCACTCTCCTTTCCCCGTTTCTAAAACCCAATGACTTTATTAAATCCATGTTGTCTTTGGTAGGCATAGGGTGAAGCCCTTTACAGTAGATTATCAAGTGCTCAGCCGTCTCGTCCTCCTCTCCACAAGCAGTGCACACTGTATCCAATTCCTGGTACCTCGCTCTGTATGTTCTGGTTCGCAGAACACCCGTCCTCGCCTCAAACAACAATGAGCTTCCAATAGAATTGTCATAAATGCTTTCTTTGGCAATAACCGTTTTGTTTAATCTATAGCTTTCCAGAGCCGTCTTTGTCTGCATTCCGTCTAGCCACCGATCTCTTTCTGTGGCCTTAACTTTCTTCTTAACTGAGACTTGCTTTTGCGTATCTCCACTATAGCCTAAAACCTTTCCTCTCAATTTCCTAGTGCGCTGTCTCCACTTTGTGTCTAAGCTCCTTATGTACAAATAGCTGAAAACCTTTCGTGCCCATTGGTCCCCATCCATCTGCCTCAACCGATCCTCAAATTCTATCTTGCTCACCGCTTCCCTGCTCTCAAAAGACGCCCATCCCATGTCTCCTTGCACTCCCAGGTTTGGCGTTTTGCAATGTGCCCCCAAAGCCAGCCTACCTACTCCGCGCTGTTTTATTTCTAGTCTTGCATGCACTTCGGATTTTATGCACAGCACTGCGTTTCCAAAAGTCAAGCCAGGAACCGTAACCCTTTCCCAAATCTCTCTCACCACCTCATACCTGTTGTAATTCCAAAGTGCTCTATTTTTCATTACAGCCGCATTTCTGTTGCCCTTACCTATTATATACTTTTCATGCTCACTGAGATATTCTGCACCGTCACATCCCCATACTCCTAGATACTTGTATTTACTAGCTCTCTCAACTGTAATATTCTGTATTTTCAGCCTCTCAACTTCATCATTGTTAAAAATCATGACTGCTGATTTTTCACTACTGAATTCTAAACCTAATTCCTCTCCTTCCTTACCACAGATGCTCAATAATTCCTACAACTCTGTCCTGTTGTTAGCCATTAGTACAATATCATCCGCATACATCAAACCCGGTAAGGATTGCTGAATTTTTTGGCCTAGCTTACTGTACGAAAGGTCGAATCCAAGCCCACTCTTCTCTAGTCTATCCTCCAATCCTCTCAGATACAACATAAACAGCAAAGGCGATAACGGGCACCTCTGCCTAAGGCCTCGTCTTATCTCAATTTTCCCCGTCACCTTTCATTCCCATGTTATAATCACCTTATTATCTTTGTCAATGTTCCTTAATAGGGCTGTTAGTCCTTCATCTAGGTTTAAGCTCTCCAGTATGTCCCACAGGTTCCTTTGGTTCACATTGTCATAGGCACCCTTGATATCCAGAAATGCCAGCCAGAGCTCTCTGTTTTGTTTTTGCGCTATTTCTATACACTGTGTAAGAGAAAATATATTGTCCTCCAACCTTCTTTGTTTCCGAAACTCGTTCTGTAACTTGCCCAGTATGCCCTCGCAATCTACCCACTCCTCCAGTCTGTTCTTTATAATCTGCATTACCAACCTGTAAATAACTGGTGTCACGATTATGGGACGATAATTCCTAATATCAGACTTATCTCCCTTTCCCTTATATATCATACTCATCCTACTAAGCCTCCATTTATCTGGAATATTTCCTTTTGTTATCATAGTGCTCACTACCTCCCTTAGTTTTGCCTTAGATATAGGACCCAAATTCTTCACCAGCTTGATTGGGATCCCATCTGTGCCTGTCGATGTGCCACTAGGGACTCTTCGTTCCGCCTTTTCCCATTCTCTTTGTCCAAAATCCGCGATGTTACAAGCTGGACTGCTACTTCCTTCGGTTCTCCTATCTTCCACATGTACCCGTTCCCGAAATTTCTCCTCCATCACTGCTCCTATATATCTAGGGTTGGTCGTTTTCGGGTAAAACCCGATTTTACCCGATTTTTACACCCCGAACAGGTTTCAGGAAAATCGGGTTAAACCCGATTTCTCCCCGCATTCCAAAACCACATAACCAACCTCTTTATTTTTACGCCGCACGGAGTTTGCCGTCACA